ATGAATTTCTTCTGAACGCTCCAGAAAAGTTAAATAACGGTTATTTCGGGACGAACTAGGGGTCTCCCATATTACAAACTGTAACCGGACATCACCCAGGAAAAAAAACGATCAAGTTTAAATTACGGCGTTTTATCGGTAGATATATTTTGGTTTACTGGTTATAGAGTACCTCATTTCAGATTTTACATTGAACCTAATCTACTTTTAAACTAAACTAGTTTCTAAAGTTTAATCTAATCACTAAGAATAATGTCTGAAATTTTCGTAAAAATCAGTAAACTAGTTTTTAAATCTATATATTCCAGTATATACTGTATATAAGCAACAAACATAGATGAATCATATTATAAATAAACTCTCGTACCTATATTTGTTTTAAGACTGAAATTTTTAATTTCTTTATTGGAAAAATCATAACCATAAAAACCAATATATGCATGATTTTACTTCATCTACTCCCAGTAACCACTATCCAATGAAAACCGTTGATATATATTTTTTTTAATGTTCGATTTATATTATGAAAATTTAAAATTTAAATTTAATTATTAATGGATTTAATCCTTGTGTACATAAGCATATGTATAAATTGAAAATTTTAGGAAATCTTATTACTAGTGCACCCCTACATTGTAGTTAGGATACCATTTCAAGTCACTAGCTATCATTGCTTAGATTCTAAGCTGATCAGTCAGTCAATCAAAAGAAACGTTGGATTATATATATCAAACTATTAAAGTAATATTATATTATATCACATTTTGTGGTAATAATTTCACGGCATCCGAAAAATTCAATTGCTGATTTCGCGAAAGCATTACCTAATTCAACTTTTTTAAACCTAATAGGTGAAAATGTTAACACTTAAATTAACTTGTACATTGGCACAGATTTAAAAATGGGGAAAGTAGGTACCTACGTAATGKTTTCGCTGTACAATAGGACTATAGTGAGTACCTCTACAGCATATAGTAGAAGTCTAGTCTATCTCATAGTCATTGAGTAGGTCACTGTAATGGATATATTATTTAAATTCAACAATATTTTTATAGGTACAAAAAACGGTTCTTAACGATAATGGTCTGTCAATCTACTATAATGTTATAAATACATTGCTATTAATTAGTATAATATTTTATTTTATTATATATAGTAATACAGTATAAACTATAAATAGGCAATAGATAGCATAAAATTAATCTGAATATTCTTGAATGTTTCAGATCCCTCATAAAAATATTTTAGATTTAATACAAAATAACTAGTCGTATTTCTTTGTTTAAATGTCAAATTTCATCAATATTTAAAATTCAACTGTCCATACAAAAATGTTATCATAGAACTATATATACTTATGTGGAATTTTTATTAAATTTTTAAATCTTACATTTATAACTACTAAATAATTATCAAATATTGCAAACATTTGCTAATTATTTTGTGACAAATTTCATCAATATTCTAACTTTAAACGTAGGTATATAACTATTTTTACTAGATATTTTTTAATTGGTTAATGAACAACTTATGAGAAACTTTGTATTACATTATCATTTATCAGTCTACAAATTGTTCAATAASCATCAAAATCATCAGCTACAGAAAAATACTAGGTAAATGGTAAAAATGTCAAGTATCACTGGTTATTTGTTTTTGAGTTACACCAAAAAAACCATTTAAAATTTATAAAAAAACTTGATTCGCAAAAATTACCATTTTTTTTGGTTATTTTAAAATACTGACAATTTACAATAATTCTGACTTCTCAAAAATACTAACTAGATTCAATTTGTTATCAAAACCACACTCAAAGTTTAAAATCAAAGCATTACTTTTACTTTTACCTTTAGTGTAAAGACACAATTAAAAACACACATTGTAAAATCATAAGAATATTAGATTGAAGGATCCACTCAGAATTTAAAATTATTAAACAATTAAAAAAAATATTATCCAAATATGAAGAGAAAATATATCACATATCACCCATTAGATTATTAAAATTCTAGAGTAAATATTATTTTATTATTTTATTTTTTAAATTTGTAATCCTAATGCCAGATGGCAGTTTAAAATTAAATGGTATAAACATATTATTGAACAAATATTAAATAAAGCATAGTGAGCAACATTTAGTTAACATTTTATATTGATACAAGTCAAAAAGTTTGAACATTTCATAAACAAGGTTCAATAAAAGTTTTTCATAAAGAAGTTATAAAATATTGAAAATTTATAAATCCACATCCCAACCACTTAATGTTCAAATTTTGAAAAATGTATCAATTACACAAACTATTTGTTTATTGTACATGCTTACTTTAAAGTTTGCAAACATAGTTTTATATGATAGTCATGTTTACAGCTGTATAGTGTGTTAATAATATTTGGAATTTTGTAGCTCTGTAAAACTATAAAAAAAAGTAACAAATAAAACCGAATTCACTTAAAATGAATCAAAAAWGCAAMCAAAAAATACTTAAGACCCTGTTAAATATTAAATTGAATCAGAATTTAAATAGATATATCACAGCCTAATCAATAGGCACAATAACCTATATTTTTAGTGGGAATAAAGCCCTCCCACAATTGTATTTTCTAAATGATATAAGTATCAGTATGCTTAGTACTAAGTTAATACTAACTTCTATATTAGGGAGACTAAATTCCTCCCTCCTATTTGGAACAATTCTCACAATTAACTCTATACATTTGCAATGTCTTTCACTTTTATCTACTCTAAAAAGTAATTTATATTACATAATATGATAAATAAGAAAAAGAAATTTAATATATTTTTCAGTTGCTTATAATGTGTAACAATCTGTCACAATATACATTGAATGTATTTTTGATATTGGGGGAAAAATGTTATAGTCTTTAAATACAATTTTCTGTATAATCAAATCGTACATTGGTTCGAAATTAAGTTTTACTATAGATCAATATTTGCAACAATTACAAGTGTTCCAGTGAGGTATCGCAACAACACTATCAGACTAAGATAGCAATCATTAATAAATAAAAAGGTGATTTATTAGTATGCTGTGGTCTGTAGGTTGCCAAAACTTAAACATTTTTTAAAATGGGACAAAATGTAAAAAATCTTGAGAACCTCTGACCTTATTTGTATTAATTATTAAATGTTCAATCATCAGGTATTAAAATATAAATGACACTTAACAAATTATTAACTTTAAAATTATTATAAAATATTAATGATTTTAACAAATTTTATCAAAATGTTAACTTATAGATATTTTTAATAAGGAATAAGAGCAGCTTTTTACTTTGTATTATAGTTTTAAGCTTTTTGACTAAGAAACAAACCATTCTACCACTATAAACAAAAAAGAATATCTATCTCCTTATCTTTTTTTACAATTTAATAATTTTGTAAAAGGTACAAAGGAACCAAAGTACTAACCAGATCCAATATCTGCTATCAGAAACTACCCTGTGTCAAATTTGAAACATTTTTCTGCTCTTCAAATTGGTAACTGACGAAATAAAAACCAAATTAATTTCACTCTTCGCGGAATTTAATATTGTTTCTTATCATATTTTAATATTGGTATTTTTATTAAAAACAGGGATCGTGGGTTCATACATTTGCATATCAATCTTGCTAAGTTGTATTTATTGCTAGGCGACATAGTATTCCATTTCAAGGTAGTGCGATTAAATATGTGAAGTTTTATTTTGCATATTTTTGCAAATTTAGATGTTTCTTGGTTATTTGAAATATTTTATGTGTTTTTTCTATTTTATTGTGCATATTTAGCGTATTTATCAACATTAAATGAAAATGCAATAATTTATTTTTTTGCACTGTGTAAAATAGATGGGAATTTTTGCAATGTATATGTAGCCTGTATTAAGAAATTAGTACGAAATTTGTTGTATTAAATATATATAATTATTAGATTATTAATGGAGATTTTTTAAGCTAGTTATTTTAATTAATTAAATTAAGCAGATAAAATATAACTTTTACAAAAATGAATAGAAATTGTTTAATCTGCATATTTTTAGTATATACTTTTAGATTTTTAGCATATATAAATGCACATATCAATGTATATTTTGCCAGTTTTTAGTGCATAAATACATACTTATTTTTGTCATTTTTCAGAGCATGAACTCATGAGCCCTGATCATAAGTAATATTTTAAATAGTACCTGTAACAGTTTAATGTATAATTATACATCATAACATAAATAAATAACAAAAGTTGTACCACCTCACGACTTAATAAAAAGGTATGATCACAACTTTGTGATACACATACCACCCCACCCTAGTCTATTATATAGTTATCTACTTCTGTTTTATTTTATTAACATTGCTGACCAATTAAATGTGGTGAACAAGCWATGGTGTTGTGGATAGAATAGTGAGGGGTCAAGTGGATGCACCAGCTGAACGAAAACTTTTTTTCTTTGTGATTATACCTATTTATTTAATCAGCCTAACCATGAATACACACGTAATTATCAATTGAAAAAATTACCTTATGTAATTAGGTAATCAATATGACACACCCTTAAATGTAATATATTGTAATAAAATATACAAAACTGACAAAAAAAAATTATATATATAATTGCTAATATTATTTCATAAAATTAAGAGGTTTGATTGTCCATTTATCATCAGAAATTAATATAAATGACAATTCATACATATTATTTAATTCACAATATCCTACATATTTCTAAACTAATTTATTAAATCATATTTACCAAAGTATTTTTATACTTCCAATACTAATGTTAATTATAGTTTTATAAATGAATCACTTGAACGTATCTCAAATTTATTTATTTTCTAATTATTTTAACCTAATATAGATACCTAATTAAAAAAAAAAAAATGCACCATTAAATTACAACAAATGTGTAATAGTTTTAAGTTTAAACCTTACACAAAGCACATCAACCCCATCTGACAATATATTTAATGTTATTAATAAATATTAAAAAATAAATCTTACCCAACTAGTAAATTTTGTTGATTGATAAATGATACTTCTACGAGTCTAGATAGTGACGTGTAGACAAATGAAAGTCAATAGCCAAGATAAAAACTATGAAAATAACCTTCAATGAGAAGATATAGTCCTGGCCCTCATTCTTCAACACAGCAGCTGCAGTGCAATTATTGCTAAATCGAAATTATATAGAATTTATACTTGTTCACTTTCTAATATTTATCCTTCGACAACTACAGATAACGGTTATCAGTTTTCGTGATAAAATAGTATCAAAGTTTGATAACAATCATTGAGATATAATATAAACCTTAGATCATATACTATGGATGTAGTTATGCGTATACCGAATTGTGTCCAACATCATCCCCACCACCTTCAAAATTTCACGGTACACGAAAGAAATGCGCATGCCCAGAAATCTAAGCGAATGATACTATTATACTGATAAAGTGATAAGCAATAACGTTGAATTTCAAACAATAAAAATTAAAAATTATAAACGTGTTATTACTTATCAGTTGGCATTGTTGAATGTTGATACCGATTTCTGGTAATTAATTATTATTACTCTGAGCCTTCGGGCACGCGCATTAGTGTCGTGTACCGTGAAATTCTGAAGATGGGGGGRATGATGTTGGACACAATTCGATGCTAGAGCAATTATACGCATGACTACATCCATACTCCATAGTAAATGATCTAAGATAAAACTATAGTTAGTTAGTAAAGTTAGTTTATATATCTCGATGATAACAATAATGAAACAAAAAATATTTCGTGGATCAAAATATTATGTTACGATTTAAATCATTGACATATAATTTAACAATTTATTTTATAATTTTAATGTTTAAATAGTTAAACACTATTTAAGGTAAAACAATTTATGAATTAATAATTACTTACAGTCATTACTAGAATGGTAGATAAATTGAGCAGGCGGCGGCGAGATAACGAACAACCAGGGGTTCTCCTTACTTGAATGTCAGCTGAGACATATATTTTTATACATAATTGTCAATTAATTGATGAGTGACTGAGGCGCCCCGCGTGGTCGACTCACACCGCAACTATAGTTTGGGATACACCGAAAAATGTCGCCGCCTACTCAATTTATTTGGCAACGACTGTACCATAGAGGCAAAGAATACTATTGTATAATTTTGTAATACTATATGTAGACATGTAGTACTCTATGACTATGACTGTACTATAGGTAGTAGGTACTACCATGAATTAAGATATACTATAATTATAATATAGTATAACATATTATATACTTCAATGTAGTTATAACTTATATTAAGTAATATTAGTAATATTTACTTCTATTAAGTACCTACCAATATCTTAATTCAAGCCTGCTACTCGCTCAACTATGCAGTACTAGCATAAACCGAAATAAATAAAAAAAAAGAAATTTGCAAAATAGAAACTATTGTTCATTAAAGATTATTGATACTATATGCTTGTTGGTACAATGGTACATTATTTTTACTACTATTGTACGTATTGTGATTTGATCAAAATAGATTTAAAAGAAATCAAACCAGAAAATCAAATCAATGTAAGTTATATTTTTTGTTCAATTATTTATTAAAACAGTTTTAATTAAGAGGGCGTAACACCAAGGGTAACACCCATATTTGTTGTATCAGTCTTACAAAAGCGGAACATAGCAAATTTACGCTCAGCAGTTCACTTTGTCAGCTTAAAAATTAGAGCGAATAGACCTGCAGTTATGAAACTTGATGGTAAGAACATTAACTGTTTATTGTAGGGAAATATTTTTACGACAATTCAGTTTTTAAGTGAGTTACGAGCGTTGTGCTTATAATAATAAATTATTAAATAAAAATGCTCATAACTCACTTAAAAATTGAATTATCGTAAAAATACTTCCAAAAAAACATAATTAATTTTCTTATCATCAAGTTTTATAATAAATTGGTCTACTCACTCTAATTTTTAAGCTAACGGAGTGAACTGCTAAGCGTGGATTTGTTATGTTGTACGCGTAGGTATGTTACTTCTAGAAAATATTATTGGGCCTTAGGTCCAACTGAAGARCATGCTCCTGTGAAGGGACATATTGCCTATAATGGCATAAATTTATATCTTTACATTTTTATTACTATAATAAATATTAATTTATAGTTATTACTTATTTGTTATACATTTTTTTAACGTGATTTATTTTCAAATTTGTAGGTAGGTACATTTTACATTCTGAGTGGAGCGATGAATGTATTGATTTTACAATGATGTATTTTTTTTATGTGTTGTAATAATGTACTAATGTACTATGTAGTAATGTGGAAGCTGGATTTGGGGTGACTAGACATATATGTATATTGGAKGCTAAGCCCCCCCATAATTYCACCTAATTCTGCTAATTCTGCGGTGATATTATGTACCCAACAGGCAAAAATATCATTTATTTGTCGGTAGCTCTTTCAACTCCCGTTTCTCTAAACGGCTTCCGTCAAAAAAAGTCTAATGATTAATGAACAGGTAAATTTCTAAACGATCCCGGTTTTTTTACAACACAAATTTTTTTTCATTTAATACTGACGTAGGACTGTCTTAAAAGAGGTGTGGTTAAAAATTTCTTGTACTCTTGTAGTACTCTAAGTAAATAAAATTAATAAAATTACATAAAAAGCTTATAGTATAATATTTAATTTTTAACGTTAAAAAAGCGGGTAAGTGGATGTCACTCTGCTGTGTATTAGGTGGTGTGGTGGACCTCTGACTAGAGTAGGTTAGATTTGAATGCAATGATAATCATTGTATACGAAAAAAAGATTCTGAACGGAGATGATTTTTTTTTTATTGAACATATTAACATCGACAGCAAAGGCCATTAGTTACACTTATTACATTTTTACATATTTATTACACTTTTTTTTTTTATATATAAGATTGAACAATTTTGTTTTTCTTAAAAAATTAATTATGTCTAGGTTTTTTTCATGAATAGGTCCGAGTGTTGAGTCGAGGTTGTATGATATCTTATGTTCAGCTCGTTCTTGGTTGTGGATTATGCAGTCGGCTATTATGTGTTTTATTGTTAATGCAATACCACAGGTTTGACAAATAGAGGGGGGGGGGTACTCTTTTGCAATAAGGAAACCATGGGTGATTCTGGTGTGTCCAATGCGAAGTCGGTTAAGAACTGTCTCGTCTTTCCGGGTGAGTTTTGGGTTCGTCCACCGGCGGATGTCTATTTCAATTTCGTTTAATTTAATGTTTTGTAAGTTCCAGAGTCTTTGCCATTTATTTATAGTATATTCGTTTATGAATTTTTTTGAGTCAGCATATGACATTTGGTTTATTAGTAAAGTTTCGTTGTTGTTAATGGCTATAGAGGCTTGTTCATCGGCTAATTCATTGCCTCTTATTCCCGAGTGGCCAGGTATCCACATGATGGTGATTTCTTTACCCAAAATGAAAGCTTTGTTGAGATTGTTCTGGATTTTAGTTGCAATGTCGCAGGGGTTGAATTGGTTTTGTATGCTTTTTATCGAACTTATAGTGAATCGCTGAGGATGATGAATTTGGAGTGGGCTTCTTGGATAATAATCTCAGTAGCTATTAGGATGGCGATAATTTCGGCTGTGAATATGGAGCAAATATTAGGTAGTTTATGCAATATTTTTTTATTGGGAAATATTATCGAAAATCCTACTCCTTCATTGGTTTTTGAGCCATCGGTGTATACTTCCTGGAAGTCTTTGTAGTTATCTATAATACTTTTAAAGAAGTTTTTGAAAATATAGGGAGAGGTTTGATGTTTGAGCAGATAACTGAGTTTAGTATTGATTGCGTATGTGTTGGCCCACGGAGGTTGGAAGTTTTTTTCTTTGGTTATGATTTGCGAAATGTCTWAGTTGCAGTCTCTCGTCTCTTTTATAATGAGGGGGTTATTTTTTTCGTAGATGGTGTTGTTTAATTTTGCGGATCTAGCTGCATATTTGAGGTATAGTTCCAGTCTTTTTATTTCGGGAGTGGTTTCTCCAGCGATGTTATATATACTGAGAACGGGGCTGCTGCGAAAGGCTCCTAAAGCCAGTCTCAGGCCACAGTKATTCACACTGTGGAGATGATTTGTCAGTCTAGGATATATTATATTTAAATATTGTCAATCAATTTTTTCAAAAACATTGCATGTAGTTATCATAATTCATAATAATAACTTATATTCTCATAGATATACATAAACCTGATTTCATAAAAATTTAAAACTCAAACGCTCAAAACATTTTTCCTATAATGACGCTTCAAATTT